ATACGGGATAGAGGGACTAGGTGATCTATGAAGTCCAAACTGTCTAGCTGCATGCAAGCTGTCCATTGTGTTGCGTGCTTTTTCGGAAATATGGAGATCTTCATAGTCATGTTAACCACTTGAAAGAAGAGAAAAGGTAAGAACAGTCAGCCTTGTCTAGCACGGACTTCCACCCGGTATGCATCTGTGAGCTGCCCTCCATACATGACTTTTTTGTGTAGTGCGTCATAAGAACTCCGTATGATGTTGACGATCTCAGGTACATCATACTATTGAAGAAGGTTGCATAAGGTTCTCCTATCCACGCTGTCAAATGCGTTCTCATGGTCAAGGAAGTTGATCTATGGTGATGAGTTTCATTCCGTTGTTTGTTCAACAATGAACCGTTTGTTGCAATGTAGTCGGTACATAATCGATCCTTACGAAAGCCAGCCTGTTTATCTCGATGCTGTGGGCCTTCTGAGTCTTCCATTCGGTTCAGCAACACTATCGCTAACTTTGCTTGGTACTCATAGTGGTGTGATGTCTGTGAAGTTCTCACGCTTACTAGGGTATCAAGAAATATCGTGAATTCGACCGCAGATCAACTGTCCCGAATAAAACATTTCAAAGAGATGATGCATATAAAGAAGAACAGGCCATAGAAAGCTAAAAGATACTGTTGAAATTGAAAGAGAGATTTGGAATATAAAACTCGGATTATACATAGATGACATAAATAGTTAATTATGACACTTAATCACCACACATTGCTGTTCAAACGACATAAATAGCTGAATATAACAAGCTACTTACTAGTAATAGGTAGTATCATCACAAAGTTAAAATGAAATTAGACAATGATGAGCATTATTTCTTCATGCAAAGACATTAAGATAAAGGGGATGTCAATACAAACCTTATAAATTTTATAAATAGTCAGTGGTTGAGGGGAAGTTATTTGTATTTAGCTTGAATCACATCGCACTTCACAGCTATTTTTCTTCACAGACTGAAATCAATATGCAAATTATTGGAAACTATCGAGTAATCAACATCTGTCTCAGCCTAGTAGTATGGTGTATCGCGATGAAAGAGCAAGTGAGGACGAATGAAGCTGAAAAGTTACGTAATAGTACACTTTGTATGCTGTCCCATAAGTATACATGTAAGCCATTCGACTGGTTGTCTTGAGATTAGTGGATTCAGTGAGTTTTGTTTTTGTGAACCTCTTTAGGATAATTGATTGTAAACAACGTTTTATGTCAGTTTACGAGCCTCTGTTTAAGCCATCTATGTTGATACGTTTTCTGATAACGCATCATCCATGTAAATACTGAACACTAGCATAAAGGTAGGTTTTCCTTTCAAATGTACCTCTGTACTAACAAGCTGTCGAAATCATTATATGGATACGCAAATATATTGATAATTAAGTTGTGGATAGTTGCTACTTTATAGTTCAGATGAACCACCCCATCTGGCTGTGGAAATGGAAAACATACTGCTAGATGCTTCAAGTTAACATTTCTCATATCCATGGGATATATATATATATATATATATATATATATATATATATATATATATATATATATATATCCAGCAATCGTACTTATTACTGGTATCGAGTGGAAAAGAGTCTCGAATAATCCGTAATACTGTATGTAATTAATAAAACAGAAATCCCCATATTGCTTCGAATCATATTCTAGTAGTCACAAATTGACCAGTTTTTGAAGGGAGATGATCGTGAACACACACATAATTTATATTAAAACATTAATAAGGGGAGGTAATTATCTACTAAACATTTGTCATTTAACATGAATACCAAATGCTGTTCAAATAGTAGTTACACTACATCTGTTTTTATTATTTACGTATCAATAGAAGTTCAAGATTTATTTTGAAAATGATGCATCACTTATCACTGAGGTCTAACGATGAAGTTGTTAGTGTTTTATTAGGTAAGACTTTCAGCTCAGTCAATGAGACTAGGTTGAGAAGATTGGTCGAGTGAGGTAGTTGAGTTATTTTTTCTATAAACCCATAAGTTTCAATACGGTTCTGTTTACTGTTGGCTTGCTTTGTGATAGAGGAGTGGGTTATGAACCTGTTTCTATCATGTTGAGTATAGTCTCTATGGGTTGGAAACCTTTTTCGCAGGGTTTTCCGACTTAAAGACTTGGATGATTACCAGACATTGTGAACAATAATAATTTCCTATCACATTTGAAATGACCGAATCCCCTCATAGAGTGGAGTTGATTTCGGTTCTGTTCTATCTGATTCTGTAGTTTTCATTATTTTCTATACATCCACCATTTTGTATCCCATGATTATCCCATTTCTGTTGCGTCACAATAGTTTTGTTTCGTTTGTGTGATAACCTTCTTTGCGTCCTACTCTATCACATTTTTTGTGTCAGATAAAACGTCGAGATCAAAAGGATATTTATTGTTTGACATTAAATTTAATTTGTCAAGGAATAATCTGCTTCACTGTTTGTATACTATACTGGCTGATTAGACACTTTATCAATATTTATTCTAATCAATACACTGGAATGTCAAGCATGAAGTAGTTCTATAATAGAAATGTATTTGCAATTTCTTAATGAGTAAAAAGAATTTCAATTTCTGACGTTTCATTACTCAGTGTAAGCTACTCCTTCAGAGAATAAATAAGTAAACCAATGAAACTGACCGAACCTTGAATAGTATAAAGTAAACAAAAATATCCAGTACAATTAATTAAAAGTAGGTTTGATCAAGTCATTGTCATGTCATTCTTATCAAGGTGATTTATGTGAGACATGTTTGTCGACACACATTTGTATGAATGTGTATGTTAATGGATTAAGAATATGATGTTTGTGATGTGTAAGGATAGAGTTGAATTTTTATGTGTGATAATGGTGTGAAACATGAATGGAATCAGATGTGGTTGCTTGGATAGTTAGTCCGAGTTAAAAGGATGATAAGGCCTTCTTTTCTATTGAGGGTAATATGATTTAGCAAGATAAGGAGAGTTTTAGCTACTTGCCTTTTTTAATTGAAAAAAAAGCCTTTTTATACTATTTTGGTAGTTTTATTATCGAATTGATAGTTATGGAATGTGTCATGGAATTTTTATGCCGATTTAGTTTAGTTTTTTAAGTTCTACAGGATTATTAGGTGATTTTTTGTATAGATTCGATACTCTTTGGATCATGTCAAGATTTAACGAGATGTGTTGGTTTTCGATAGATGGTTAGATATGTGAATGATACTTTTGTTATCATAAAAAAGACTTACCTACTATCTTTTTCTAAACTGATCAACAGACTATCATTCCATATTAAATTCACTTCAAAAAGTAAAAATAAATACGGTGGGCTAGCATTTTTAGATTGTTTAGTTAAGAAAGATTGAAATGGAACTCTAAATCTAACCATTTACAGCAAACCAACAGACTCAAGTCGGTATATCGACTTCAAACCAGCATATTCATTTAGTGCAAAAATCTCTTTGGACCCAAATTTTTTCAGAAAAGCATACAAGATTATTACATTTGAAGAGGATACACGAAATAAACAAACGCATATAATTAACATTTTATAACTTAATAACTTTCCTATGAAGACTACTAAAAGTACAATAAAACGAGACATTTTACTGCTAAACAATAATCCGAAGGAAATACTATGGATTAGTACTGTAGTTTTATCATCCCGCCACGGTACAACAGAACTCTAAAGAGCCTCATGCACAACGCAATTAAATCATACTACGAAGTCACTAACATCCTCTTACAAATGCTTTAGTTCGTATAAGAGATAATACAAATAATAGTTTAAATTCATTTGGTATTGGGAAGATTCATGTAAAGCAATAGTAAACTTCACCCCATTGCATAAGCAAGTGGCTATCAGGACTCAGTAACTAAGTGGATAGCGCGATGGCGTTTGAAGCGAACGGTACTGGGTTCGAGTCTCAGAGTGAACATTAAGTCTGAGATGCAGGTACATCGAAGTGACGAGTCTCAAATACGATGAAACGCCCATTTTGGATTCCACTGCTAGCCACTATCCATCATTGCTTATAACTATATCAACATTTATGAATTTGCTAAATTTCGTTTCTTATGCCATAATTGCTTGTATGAAATTCATCAGAATCATAAATTTTATTAGATGTATAAAGCAGTGTTCTTCAGAATAATTTATACTAGTCGATCGATCAATAAATGGCAATTGGGTGAGCTTTTACTTTGTCTGTGATTCAATGATGAAACGTCTAAGAAAATTATGTTCATTTAAAAATGAAATGTACTTTATTTTATGGAAATTTAAGATCTACGTTTTAATTTTAAAGATATAAAAATACTGTCCGTTTACAACCACATTATTTTGTACCTGCAGATATCACATAAATCAGCTCAATTACCTATGGAAAAGAGCACTATACATTAGTGTTTTGAATGTAATGCTAAAGTTTGAATTTCAGGAATAAAATGTAACTAGTGCAGTGATTTGATTGCTCACTTTTTTATTACGGAATCACAAGGCTAGATGTTAAAGACGCTTGAAATCTGAAGTAGCAGATATATGTGATATACAAATTTGTTTATCTAGCCAAGCATATTTCGAGAACCTTGATCTGTGATAGAACAATTCGGTTAATCATCCATTATACCAATCTAGGTATTCCAAAGGGGATAGTTATCAATATGCTCAGTCCATCATATCTTAAGCCGTTAACTGAGCAATATTCTTTAGGTATCTTGAAGAATGCAGTTCAGTTGAGTGATGATGCTTCATACTTCAATAGTTCATTAATTGTCTGTATGCTAATGAATGGAATAAAGTAAGGCGAAACCAGTGACATTGTATAAAGAAATAAATCACGTAAATTTGAATTTGATTTCAAAAGCAGCTGAATTTCAGAGAAGAAATAAAAAGAATCAACACTGAGAATATATTGGACCAGAAATAGGTTATTATGTATTTAGTGAGAAATGAACTTCATCAAAATCAATTAGTTACATTGAAGTACTATAATTTGATTACTCAATGTACTGTTAACAAGATGTATTTCAGGACACCGTAATAGATTATTAGCCGGTAAATTAGGAATCGAAGGATATGCTAGTCGAACAGTAACTGAAGAACAAATATATCTGAAGTCCAGAACGAAGTTAGGTGGTGCGTATCGCAATAGTACAATCACGAATGTAGGAAAACCTGCAGCTCTTCTTACGAATACACCATAGTAATGCTTTTCATACTGGAAAGAAAATAATAAAATAATTGTTTCGTAAGTACTGTTGCAAACGAAACACAGGTGGGGACAACTAAATAAGCCATGAGATAAACTTACACAGTACCTTGGTAAAATATGAGAACTATACTTTAATACCTCATCTGAGAACTTCTACCATTCGCCATTTATATTCTGTATGATTCTTCCGATTCACAATTACTTTCCAATTCTGTTTGTCTTTTCTTCAAATCGACCTTTATAGCCTTCTGCTGCCAGGTTTTCCACTTCCGATCGGTGTTTCATACTACTTATGTCGACAGATATAAGTAGTGAAGCACATTCAATCAAATGATTTCAAATATTCTAAGCTTCCAAGTGTCATACTAAAGAATTACTCTTAATTTAAACCTATAGCTCAATACAACTGATTTTATCTGCGGATATGTGCATGTAGTTATGATCATATTTCGGTCTGGTTACAGACTATATTTCCCAAGCAAAATACTCAACTAGATAACAGTACAGTCTCAATATTTATTTATATACTTCATTGTAAGAATTTCCTGTTGAATAGTTTAAACACGTACTCTCATTAAATCTTCGGTACATAAATAATGCTACAAAATATCGAAACTTTATCGATAAAACTAATCGATCACATTTGAAACTCTGCTTAATTCAGTTTGAAATAAATATTGTGAAAGAACAACAGAAAGGTGACAATGGTTTACAGAATTTCATCATTGAACGATCTTCGTACTAATATTTATTCAGTGAACAGTTGAAAATATAGAATTTAACGAACATAAAATTTCTTAAGGTTTATATTTGGATCCGAAGCTAGAGAGATAACTTACATCTTTAAAACTGCTTAGTTCCTCCATTGTTCCCGATTTGAAGGTTGGATTTTGACGCAAATTGATCAGTCTTTGGACGAGATAGTAAACCGTTTGTTCACATTTTCTATCAACTACATTCTATGGAATAAAAGCGATTATTATATGTGGTATAAATCATATATTTACTTTTAGTAGTAATTTAGCGGCTGACTCAGTAAAACACGGTTCAAAAGTAATGGTTTTCAATTGACAGTAACGCAGAATAATTTGAACTCTCAAAACCTATTTCACACCATTTAAGACATTTGCATTTCAAAATGGGGTGAAATTACGTTTTCCAGATTGGTCAAAGAAATTATTTCCATGTTGAATCAATTTCAAACTGTTAGGAAGTTTCAGAAATACTCCTCGGAAAAGTCAGTAAGAGGCCAGAAAATGCTTGGAAGCATTTCATCCAGTCAAGATTGAATAGAGTTACTTGAAGGCATCTAGAAGGATAACAAATCACTTGTCACGGTTTTGCTTGGGTAATTACCTCCTTACTACTATATTTAGTATGCTTCTTGAGCCTTCTCGGTGATCAAAATCACGTTAAACAGTATAAATACGGACAATTTTCGGTACACACAGCCATAGAGTAAAGCTTTATTTAGTACTTTGCCCCTTTTCTTTTGTGTTCAAGTTGCCGTGTACATTGGTTCTGGGGTTAATAAAGGTGACTAGGAAATAGAATCGAGTGTTCAGTTAGCAGAATAATCATAAATCACTTAAATTGTCAATTTATGGAAATTCTAACTAGACAGTTTGACCACTTACTTATGCATATCATCCAGTGCAACTTCTACACATAAAAAGTTGGAAAATAAACTGTGTTCATTAGGTTATTGTAAATATGTAGGACTCTGCTTCTTTCATATGATTTCTCGATTCCTCTCAATGATGAGCTTAGATACGAGATAGTTCACTTTTGGTTTGCTTTCCTTTTGATATGTAACAATAGCTATTTCGGTGATAATATGCCACCTTTATAAAGTGTAATAACAGAATCTGGAGTTATGAACAGATAACAATCTAAAAGTAGTCACAACCAAACGTTCTGTATTTGTACTTTTCAAATTACGACACCAGTGAATAAAACCAATGTAATCATCTAAATCAGTCAGTTATTCATTATGGACTTATCAAGTAAACAGTTAAGAAAACTAAACAAAAAATGTGTCAATGCACAAAGGTTTCTCGTATACTTACCTCAACAACCTCACTTTTAATATTTCTTTCCACGTAATTTTTGAAGCTGTAATCGTTTATAGCTTTTGAAAATCTCTGTCCACTTGTATCCCATGGCATTGGTTGGTGAGATAGTATTGAACCATAATCGAGTAACTCTTCATTATTGTAACTTTTTCCTTTTGGATACAACTGTTCTGGTCGACGTCCTTTATTGAAACTAGTCATACCAAGCTCAGTTCCATAATAAATTATCGGTATTCCTGAAGAGGTAACAGAAAGTAGGAGAGAATATAATTTATGCTAATTAACAAAGTCAGTGCTTATTTCAGTATGAAGTTTCTTAAACCCATTCGTTATGACTTACAGATTGAATACTCCATTTCATCAAGTTAGTTGAATCAATGGGGTTAAGAAAAACTTTAAAACTCAAAGATGATTATTATGGTTTCTGTGACAACGATCCAAACCAAAAATATAAAATAATTATGCATTGTTTTAGTTCATACACAAGTGTTACAGGCACTTTTTGTGACATTCCGTGAAGAACATACATTATAGAAGAATCGAAAGATCATTAGAAGAAAGTTTGATACATTACTTTTTCCTTGAACAACTAATCTATTATCTAAATATAAAATATTATTCTACTAATGAAAGATTACTTTTCCATTGTTTGATAAAGATGAATAATGAAAAGGTAAATGTAAATCATAAGTTAAGGAACTCTGTTCAACTCATATTGAAAAGGATGAAGTTTTAAGGCTGGTTAATTGGTTGATTTAAAGGAAATCTCTACGGAGGTTTTACCGTCTCTCCATTTTCATAATTTTAAGTATTCTAAAATGAGTATTGGTTTTAAACATGAGTAATTTTATGCATTTTCCTCAGTTAACTTAAGAACTCCAAAGTGGGAGTGAATTTCACAAACTGTATTCTCCGAAATTCACTTTCATTAAGTAAAACAGTAGAATTGTAGACCCATTTTCAAAATGAACTAAAGCCTCTTCAAATAACCTCACTGTAAAATACGGATGGAATCTTATTTTTTGAAATACATTATTTCCCAATATGTAATATCTATCTGTTTCTTTCTCCTGATAAATATGTAAGTGAACTGCATTTCACTGTCAGGGATCGAAACAGCTATCTTTTAGTAACAGACATTATATAAACTTCTATACTAGAACTCGATTCATACCAGTTAGCCTGATAGTGAGATATTCGTTCAAAAGAAAAGCATTGATGTATGACCCGAGAACATTCATTGAGAGAAACGAATTGCTGAGTAATTTGATAAGGAGTGGGCACTTTTGTAATCGAAACTTACCTGGTAATAATAATGAGGCAGCTAGAGAAAGCACGTCTTTTCTGGAGGGGAAGCTTGAAGTGGATACAGTTAACCCTAATTTCTGCTTATACGCATCTTGGTAACTGTGATACTTGCATGTTAGGTTCTTTGTTGTAGGAAAGTTTTCTTTACAACCCCTGTTTGGTAGAAATTCACGGATAATTATCACATCTGCTACCTCTCGAAAGATCAACATTGGATCAGGTCTGCCAGTCAAATCACACCACGTATCTCCTGCGTTGACACCCAGTAATCTATGGAAGATATATTGAATGAAACAATATCGTTATAATCGATGTTGTCTAAAATTAAACGAGCTATCGACGTAGTTTACAACATAAAGAATAAAATTCCTTGTTTGCGGAATAAGTATTTTGATCTTTCAGTTCATTTCTCAAGCATATGAAGAATTATTCAAATTTCAGCTCGGTGGTTCTGCTTTTATCCAAGTTGAAGCATAATTCCTTCTTTGTTATCCACATGTTTAGTCCTCCCAATATGATGATGAAATATGTATGTTGAAAACTGTTAGCATGAAAAGAAAATAGTCACAGCAATAAGGACGAAAAAACTTACACTTTTCTTCCGCTGATCTTCATCCACTCATCAATTCCTTGTCTAACTTTTTCGACAAACTTCACATTTCCTTGTGTATATATTTCTTCTCTTTGAGGACAGGACAACACCTGGTAATATGGAGAAAACAGAGTTAGGCGAATAAATATTACTAATACGAGCTTAAGAGACCTACCTTCTTTTGTGTTTCATGTTGTTCTTCTTGTTCAACAAAATATGCAGCGTTGTCTAGCAGAATACCGTCTATTCCCTCTCTCATCCAATAATGAATCACATCCTAGAGATAAAATCATTGTTATAAATGTAATAATTAACACCTACAAATATGGCATTCTGAGTGTCAATATCAGTCAAATCTAGGTCTACACTCGGTGATCCGAATACGGAATAATACTTCTGACCACGGATATCTACACTGAGTGGTTTTCCATATCTTGATATCTTCGTGCAAATAAAGTGCAATAAGAAAATCAAACCAAAACAAAAATGTTACTTGATTCCTTAAACTGTTCTCGAATACTTTTGGTTTGATACGGTTTTCTTTAATCCACTTATGATTGATAGATACGGAATTGAAATCGAACGTCAAAACAACTTTCAAATCCTTCTCATGAAATTGCTTTAAGACATGACGAAAATCATCCATTGTACCAATTGCTTCATCTAACTTCTCATAATCATCTACCAATCCGATCATATTATGTGAATTGCTATAGAATCCTTTTGTGATAGGACCCAAAATCACAAATCCCGAACCAATTACACCTTTTATATAATCCACTTCAGATAAGAAACCTATTGAGAAAAGTATAAAAGGTGATGAGAACGGCAGTTTAATTTGGATTACCATTTAGATCACCGACTAAATCTCCATTGGAATCTTTGAAAGCAAATACATCTACCCAGTAGCCAACTTCAGAGTTCCAGAATGTTGATTTCGATATAGGTGTGGATTCCGGCCAACCAGTTATGTATAAAGTGGACCAAACCAATAGGCCAAGGCATAACAAAGATATGACAGTCGATAATACAATTACAATGTATTTCCATGTTGAATGAGTTTCATCTAAATTCCTTAGTCCCGTACAACTCTCAACCTGAGATGTCATCTCAAATGATGTTGATATGCTACTTTTCAGTGTACTATTTCCATCCTCCGAATCTGGTTCAATCGGTATGCGTTTGCGTATTTCTTCCAACAGCTTTTCTCTTGGGGACATTATTTTATTTTTAAAATTATTCATTTTCTTGACTTAATTCTGTAGTTTATTTACAATTTGCCATATGAGCTATTGGTATAGTGAATATTAATTGTTAGTTTTAACTTCTGGCATTTCTCGTCTGATTCTGTACATATTTATACAACAATCATTGTGAAAAAAATGTTATAAATACATTGAAAAGAGTAAAACTGTGCCAAATAATTCAACTAACTACTTGTTTTACTGCACATCTCTTTCTAGTGATTGGATCGTCAAGGTATGTAAGAGTTAAACTTGTAAAGTAAATTAACTTATTAGTGAAAATAAAGTAGATATTTCTAATTAGACTACATTGTTTTGAAAATGCAAAGTTATTTTCATTAAAACGATGAATATTTTTATTAACTTTAATTAAACTAGACTATCTTTGTACCAGTCAGATTATTTTAACAAACAAACTCTACCAATGTCATTATAGATTGTGTTCTTTATGGTATCATTTTGTCAACATAGTCATTTCTTATCCATGTGTATCGAACGATTATTATTGCTGATTACACTGTGGTTATTTTCTTTTGTTGTTGTTGTTGTTGTGAACTACGTTTTGTTTCTCATAAGATGATTACGTGATCATAACAATCTTTATCTAAAGACATTGAACAATAAACGTAGAAGATAATGTGGAAGGAGAAAGTGTTCTGCTACTATAGATTAACAGGTAAAACTTATTTAAAAGTAAAGAATATTTAGAGCAAATATTGTTCTCAATAAATTCTTCAGGTAATTCAGTTATGAATTTATAAATAATGCGTCATAATAAACATGATACTACAAGATACACAGAGAAACTTTGGTTAAAGTGTTCAGTATTATAATTTGACATTAATGGGTCTCATATCGATCAATTCCTAAATATTTTCAGAATAAATAATTAACAAAGTTGAAGGCTAAAATAAGTTCAGTCGGAATTAAGTTAGGAGATTAGATTAACATAAAAATAATAAACATTGGGGGAGATGTATCTGAGTTATTTTGTAAACAATAATATGATGCAGATTAAGGAAAACAAATGTCCGATTAAAAATGTCATAAGAAGAGGTAAATCGAAGACTAACAGATAAAAGAGTTAATGACAATAGATTTTATTGTTTAGTCTACTCTACTAATTAGATTATGAATATGATAGCTAGTAAGCATACATGTTGAATCGTCTCGTATCTGCATTAGAGCAATGGAAATTTTTAAAGATTTTTTGATATTGCGATATGTGTTGAGCAGTTTCAGAGTAAAGACTATTAAGTAGGCCATAACCAACCGTTCAGTTATATGGTGTGGCACAATATTTGATGGTGAAAATAATGTAAGGATACTTGTTCGATTACCGGTAAAAAGCGGACAGAAAATGCAGGATATCAAATGACATCTGTCTAAAGTGCCCTCACCAAAAAATAAGCTCATAAAACAGGGGTTTTGTAGTGTGTAGATGTGTTTAGGACATATGATGTGGTTTAGCTGAACTGAAAAACGTGATGAATAAGTAGTGAAGTAGACCTATCGCATGACCTAACTAACATGTCACGTTTAACGAGGTAAATTTACTAAACTAAAATTGGAATTTATAACCGGTACTAAAATATCCACATAAAATCAGTGATAAAAACAAAACTTGTTTCTTCGGATACAAATACAAATGCTCAAATTAGTCCAAGAACCAAGAATTGACTGACCTGGTTTAGTAAATTCAACCAAAACTAGAAATTGGTTTGTTCCAGTGAAATGGGATATATTTAGCATATCTATATGAGAAGCCTGAACCGTCCCAACTTATTCAATTATCTGACTTGTTCACTCACATTCTAATTTGGTCATTAATTAAATTTGGTAAGGCTATAGGAGATTGGGTCAATGGGTGCCTCAGTGCTTCCCTTTTTTCGAGGTATATATTATGAATAGATTGTGCTTTAAGACGAAATGTCAATGTAAAATGAGTTCATACAATCTAAAATTAAAACTAATAATATAATTATTAAGAAATATTTGATATGCTTAAGTTAGTGAGGTTTAGGTGAATGTTCAAAACGACCAAATCACAATAAAATGAAGAAAATGACATAAAGTATATCAATAAATACAGTTAAGATAGATATGTACTTATATATTTGAAAGTAGTATTGCGGTGTAGAATATGTGTTATAGTTACCAGAATTCATAATCAATATGAGAGTTTATGCAAGAGTAATGAAATTAATAAGTGATTGAATAAACACTTGACATGATAAAATAGTAAATAAATGAACATCAATAAGATTATATAAGTATCAAAAGACGTAAACAGGGGAAGAGTGATTAAAAAATAATAATAAATATGATCTGATAAAAATCAGGTTACTATGACAAAGAATGGATAATCACATATACCATTTGTACATATACGTCAGGTCGGAAATGTTTGGTAGTGATTGCCTCTGCAAAGCGAAGTTGGTGCTTTTTGTCTGTCAATTATTTTGAACGCATTACTGAATTCATATCATGTTCACTAACCAAAAGGGCATCCATTAAAAAGGACGTGAGCAAAAAGGCATGTGATAAAGAGTGTGGTTAAAATGTGAGTGACCATCAAAAGGACGACTAACAAAAGGGTACATATTGATAAGAGTATGCATTGTAAGAGGAGATAACATTTTCAAAAGTAGTATGTCTGTTCAACTTACTCTCTGTCCTTCTGGCTGTATGATTAATAGGAAACGTAGTTGCCTAAACGTCTAATACAAATTTTGTGATTTTTCGAATCTGATAACAATTTGTTGTTCTTGTCACCTAGGTCACATTATCTCGTATGTCAATTTCGAATAGTCAGAGGATAACTTATTTAAAGGGATGTTTCAGGTGATTGAGAAACGTTTGGTGAATTTCATCATGGATGAGTTTTTGTTGTATCTAGAGCTTAGATTCTTAATATACCGCGTATAACTTGAGCACTCGAACACTAGAACCCTCTAAGTCGCAAATGAGAAGATAGAAGACAAGTGAACGGAATGTTATTCCAGTGTCAAATATGGTACAAAACTATCAGGTATTTATAGTTTTCTAGTAAAAACAAAATCATCATTATAGTCATCCAATCCCCACACGGAGTTTTAGCATTTATTCAGTAGGAAAGCTACACGTAGAGATTCTGTAATGTTCTTCCAAAAGATAATCGGATGGAATGTCTTCGACCCTTTCTGAGCTTCTTAGAGCTTCCTCGAGTTCACCAGTAGGTCGTCCTTACATTTATAATATATATATAATAAAAAGGTTATATTCGGCATTCTTTATTACATGTATTACCGAAAACATTGTCCTTTGCTCTTTTCGGAGAAACTAAATAAACTAGAAATGTTAATTGAATAAATCCAAATTTATTCATGTTCTATCGAATTTTAAGATTTATCAATTTCAAACACTTCATAGCTTTTTCTTTTTGGTGAAATGTATGAACATGTTAATGAACTAGTAATGAATCCAATTATTCTTTATTACTAGAGTTTAATGTTCATTGTTGGGCAGGGCTTGTCAATCAATATTATAGTTTTTAAAGTAGTTTTTATAACGCTCGATTTTCCCCGTCTATACGAATGGGACGCTAATTTGTCTTAGACGAATATCTACACTAGATACCCTTCCAGTGTCCATGCTGCAGAACTTCAAAACAACTTAGATCAAGAACACATGACTAGCCTGACTAAAACGTAAGTATATTTCCACGTCAATAACCGACAACACTAACAATAATAATAATAATAATAATAATAATAATAATAATAATAATAAGGGTAAGAGTATATATAACTCATCCAGTACCTGTCAGACTATCTACTAGTCAGACTAAGCAAACAACCAATCATTATTCTCCTCTCCCATACATCAGACATAGAAATCACAAATGACTATGGTATTCTTTATATTGTTTTGAATAAGTGATCAAGAAAACTATTCTTATTGTTGGAGCTTTCAATCAAATAGCAGCTGAAAGTGGGGATACGTATTTTTTTGTTGCTGTTGACCGAATTTATAACAAAATTATTCTAATTTTGTTTTATTCATGATTCATTCAAATCTAATTTTAATTTAACCATTACTCATTGATGATAATATTATAATTATGTCATGTATTATCAAGTTCTTTTAAATGGTTAATTATATTAATGTGCATGTAATAGATGTGGTGACGCTGAAAAATAATGAATTCATAAAATTCTTGAAATGATATCTTCACTAATGTTGTTCAGTTTTCTTTATGATTGATCTTTGGTGGCATGCATGAACATCTAGGCTACCTGTTCCTGTCATCTAGATATCTCAACAATTTATCTAATTTTGTTTCTTTCAATACATCATTATGTACATTATTCGCATAACCTATTCAAGTGCGTTTCTCAAATGCGTACATTCTTTCGTTGTACAAGTTACAAAATGCGCAGCGAATTTAGAGATATTGTGGTTGGTGACAATATGTATCGAAATCAATGTACATTATTTCGATGTTGATTGACTGGACTGCTAACTTCTAACTGTCGATCACTCAATATTTTTCATCAGGATCGACCATGAAATAAGAAACGGGAACTTGTTGAAATACTTTGTAGTGATAATTCTATATTGTATCAAAAATATAATATTGAATAAAGCTAATGATAATAATGGATCGATTGAAGGTGGACAATAACACCGTCAGACACCGGCCAGCTCAGTGGTCTAGAAGTTAAGCGTTCGCGCGTTAGACTGAAGGTCCTGGGTTCGGGTCCCGCGTATGGGATCGCGATTGCGCTCAGCTGAGAAGTCCTAGACTAGATTGAGATGACCATCCAGTGCTTACAGGTTTTCAACGGTGGTCTAGTTTAGATCGACTAATGAATTTAACTGTAAAATTATATATAGTTATTTTCACACAGACAATAGATTGGAAAAAAACTAAAAATTTTTATACAACTAAGACAGTAAAGAAAGTTTACATCTTTAAATAAGGTGATCTATTAGAAACTTATAGAAATATTTTGTTTTAATTACATTAGAGTGCTCTAAATACTCTTATCTTTAACACTTTAATGAATGCCTTATAAGGATTATTTAAGTCTGACCTAATAATACTTTATGGTTCATAATTTACAACTTCGTGTTTTCTTATCTATCACAAAGATAAGATTACCTAAGGAGTTTTTACTTAACATTAGAATTTTATCTACCTTATGAATAATCACATTCTAGTGAGGGAAACGTCTTTATAGCATGGCCTAGATATACATTATTCATTGTATGTCAAAATCCTCAATTAAACAGAAAAAATGTATGGTTTCCTTTGAATTTAATTCCAAATTCAGACTATATGGTCTCCATTTTAAAGCTGTTCAACTGAGCTACATCCTTAAAAGTCAGTGGTATAAAATCGACATTTGTA